ACCGTACCCCTGGCCTCTTTGCATTTGGTCCTTGTCCTTCTGCTAGCTTTCCCTGCTTATATTTTATTTTTTGTTTATTTTATGCTATATTCTTCCCTGTTTCCTCTTGTCTCTCATCACGTAGTCTTGGTGATCCATGTTTATGGCAATTTTTGCCTGATTTTCCTGTTTTCCAGTGTCCTTTTATTTTTGTTTCACCTTTCCATTCACGGTACTTGCCTTTTGTCAGGTCATCAGTCCTTGCTGATTGTTAATCAAACATTATAATTTTTTTTTAAGTTTACTGCTGCTCATGTCCTGCATATGATTCTCTCCTCATGAGTGCCATCACACCACATGGTCTCTGGCTCAGCTGCAGGGGAGGGGTGGAAAACTTAGGGGTGTGAAGCAGAGGCTTCCCACAGAGAGCTTTCTTCACCTGCACAAACGCCGCCTGACACAGCCCCACCCACTGGACCAGATCTGGAGGACCCTTTCGGGTGAGATCAGTCAAGGGGCTGGTCAGGTCCACAAACCCAGGCACAAACCGGCGGTAGTAGCCCCCCAGTCCCAAGAACCATCTCACTTCCTTTTTTGGTCTTGGTGGGTGGGCAGGATGCAATCGCTGCTGTTTTGTCCATCTGTGGGCGCACCTGCCCGCCCCCAGGTGGTACCCCAGATATTGTACCTCCCTCCGTCCAACCACACATTTCTTCGGGGTGGCCGCGTTCCTGGACTCCCTGAGGTAGGCGGGGCTCACAGCCAAGCGCCCCTTGACTGATCTCACCCCACAGGGCCACAGCTGGTTCAAAGATTGTTGTAAAGTGTTCAAACAAGCACCATGTCCATTTACTTCTGGTTACTTCTGATGACTCAGGAGGTAGAGATTGTCATCATCTACCAATCAGATGGTCGGAGGATTGACTCTCCAGCATGACAAAGCATCCCAAGATGCTCAACCCAGAGGTGTCCCTGGTGCATCCATTGGAGCGTGCAGGAAAATGTTGGACAAGGCGATTAGGTACAGCAAAAATGTGTTTGCATGAAAGTGTGTGTGATTGGGCTAATGAGGCTTATAGTAAAACTCAAATTAAGTGCTCAGAGTAAAACTACCAGTCCATTTACTGTTTTTACCATTTACAGCTTCCAGAAACCTGCTGAGAGGCATCACCCACCACATGTAGTGTTATAAAAACACTGGTTAAAAACTTTAATCAGCTCGCTGTGAAACAAGAACGCCAGAAACCTGCGTTTGGCTAATTAGTTTCATATGTATGTATGTATGTATTGACCTCAGTAAGACCGTGTGACCGAAAATGTGAAAACACAAAATAGGAATCATAAAAAAATAAAATCAATATTTGGTGTTTACGCCTACATCTGTCATGAGAGTTTAACCTTCTTCGGGACACGCTCCCCTCCCTCTGCAGCCTGGATCCACCCTGTCAGCATTCCTGTAGTTTATGTTATAATGTCAGGACGATGCAGTCACACGGTGCATGTTTTCAGGCACATATTTCATGTTGAATCAGTCATATTTCAGTCAGTCAGCGAGGCTGTCAGGAACATGTGGAAGTCATCGAATTCTCTGCCAGCTGCATGTTTCAATCAACCTGCTTGGCTTCTTCTCGATGTTCTCTATTTCTCTCGTTTTCTACTATCTCAGGTTATTTTGCGGTTTTCAATATTCCCAGGCTGAATACAAACACGAGTCACTCCTGCAGTTGAGTCCATTTCGCCTGTTTCTAATACAACTAGTTTCTAGGATTAAACTGTCATTTATAATGTTTATTCATGCCGTTGGTTCTTCTGTCCTTTCCACAGCGCTGGCAGCCACAAAAGCTCACGCATAAATACATAATGGACTCTGGCCCTGATTTTTGAATAGTTTCAATTGTATACAGCTGGTTTTACGGTTTGCTTCAATAGAAGTGCGTGTCATCTAAAAGCGGCTCATACCAGCGTTTACATCTGCAAAATTTCACTGCACAGTCGATTTATTTTAATTAGAGATGTTCCTAGCAGATCCTGAGTGGCAGATTCAGAGCGGTAGAGGAAGCTGAGGGACCCACGTGAACTTTATTATGGTCCCAACTTCTCACAGGATGCTCATCTTTGCTGCTGCGCTCTCAGTTTACCCACCCAGAACTGCTTTTCAGTATTTTGATATAGAATGGCTCCAAAATTATCTCATCATCATCATCATTAGCCCAGCGTTCATCTCCAACTGTAGAGCTGCTGTCCTCAAATAATGCCGTGACCTGAACACACTGTTGTGTCACTGAGTTTGGGTGTAGACACTGAAACATTATTCCCATTATTCTAGCACAAGCTAATTTGCTAATTTGGGGTTGATCTGTCCGAAGAGTGCTGTTCCAGAGCAGCTTTGGATTTTTATGAGTTTTGCTTTTTTGGCAAAGTCTAATCTGGTCTCTCGCACTTGAGATGCATTACTGGTTTGTTCCTCGTGGTGAACCTTGTGCATTTGTTGTCCTGACGCCTTCTATTTTTTGGACAGATGCTAAGAAAGGTAGAGGGACTGCAATGTTTGTTGATGGTGGTGCAATTGCATGCTGTATTTGCTGTATTTCTCCCATTCATGGACGACTCCCCTGTCATTTGACCAACACACAGCTCCATCAGCTCCATCCATGTCAAACAACGAGAGGTTGGCATTGTGGGGGACTACACAGGAGCATGCTGGCGTTGGCTGAAACCCTTCTCTGTAGGATCTCCATGGGCAAATACATGCACAAACAGACACAACCACAGAACCATAACTCAAGCATCAGCGTGTCTCTGCAGTTCACAGAGTCCCTGTTTTCATCAACTCTGTGAGGAGGTGGAAACGGGAAATTAGCAAAGCTCTGCAGGTCTGCTTGGCACGTGCTGTGGGATCTACATGGGGATGGCATTAGCAGCATTGCAGGCTATATCGCAGAGTTGGTGAAGACACCATCATCTGGACCAGAACCGCCTTCAGTTATTGGGACAAGGGCGAGTTGAGAAGGATACTAAACTAAAGCAAAGAAGTGTGGAGGGGGATGAAACTGATCACCAGACTCAACTCTAGACAACAGCAGGAGGGGGCCAGCCTGGACTGGGCCAGTCGGCTGTTTCTCAGCAGGTTTAGTACTGAGCCCCCTCAGGCAGCACCAATCCTAACACCTCCACAGCAATCAAACCATCCCCCACTCCCTGCCTGCCCCATGCTGTCCGTGTGGATTTTTGTAGTTTTTTAATTATGTCTTCATGTATGTTCCCTGTCTGCTCTTCTATGAATGCGTGCTCCCTCGCTAAACATTTTCTGCTTTTCTGGCATCAATTTTTCAATATTTTCATATCGCTGGACCAGCAGAATGGCGTTCTTACCATGCACGAGATGCAAAATGTGCATCTCATGTGCATCAGCTGTTCATTTTTCTGAGGCGAACTTAAGTCAGAGTCTCACTGAAAATAATAAATTAATTAATCAGGGTGTGTTGCAGTCCTGGGATGCATGTAAAGGTCAAAGCTCTGACTCATACTGTGTTGCTTTGTGTTTCCACGCAGTGACGCTACATGGTAAATGTTCCTTTTTGCTCTGCTATCTGGACTGTGATTGACATCTCTGCGTGAAAGAACCAGCGGTGCACTTTTATCTGCGTCCTGTAAAACTCTTTACAGGCGACGTTGATGTAGATCAGCTCTCAGCTCTGATATTTGGCCCTCAGTTTCCTAAAAGGAGCTTTTTATGTCAAACACATGTTTTCTTTTCTCCTTCTTTTCAGCAGTAAATGACCATAAATCTGATCTTTCTTTTCTTTTCTTTTCTCTTGATGGATGTTGTTTTCTCATCTTGTAGGATGACTGGAATTTTGGATTCGAGTTCTGGCTCTTTCATTTGCCTTATTGATTTTGCAGAAAATTAAAGATCATAATGTTTGCACCAAATGATATTAGCACATTCATCCCCGCTTTATTTATACGGCACCATTCATACAAACATGCTTCACGTGGTGAGACCAAAGAATTACCAAAAAAGAAACTGTGATCTCTCTTTTTCTTTCTCTGGCTCTGGATCAGCTGTTGGGACAGCCCTGCAGGTCGATTGGTCTTTTTCACCTCAGCTAACTGCAGATTGTTCACTATAATTCGTTCTCAGCCATTAACACTCATCAACTTCAAACGCTCAGATCTCAGTTTTCTACCTAGGCTTATCAAGACTTCACACATGCAGCTTTAATTGAGAAAAATCACCCACGATGTAGAAGTAGGTCTGCACACACATCAGATTGTTGCTGTCTGGAGACATTTTTCTCCTGAAATGAAACTGCGTGCTCTAATGCATCTGATTGGGTTTTGAGCCCTTGAGATAATTCAGACTTTTATTCCCTGATTCGGAGTTGCGCAGAACGTCAAACAAACACTTTGCCAGTCACAAATTTACAGATTTGTTCTTTAATCTACGGTGGCTCTGACGTGCTGCTGCAGGTTCAAGCAGACACTCGTCTGAGAGCCTGACTCAAACCGATGTCTGAGACCAAGATCTTGATCTAAAGGTGCCTTTCAGGATAAAAACAGGAAACTTTGTGGATCATTAACCTCTAACAGCCCCTCTCACCCACGAATATGAGAATAAAGTATCAAAATTGAGATATGTTGTGTAAAAGCAAGCATTGTTTAAAAGCGAGCAGGTAACCAAATACATTAATACATTAGTACTGTATACATTTAGTATGCTTCTGTTTCAGTTTTCCCTGTTTTGCATTTGGGCTGCACCAAATCTCAGAGGCAAATATTGTACTTTATGTTTCACTGCACTTGTGAAGTTTGGGTTATTTTACAAATTAAAACCTTTTCATGCACTTCCAACCCACAATTAGGATTTTGATTAAGATTGTGTGTACCTTTGTGTGTTGAGAACTTTTCTTCAGCTACATTAACTTTGAAAACAAAATGAACCTGGAACCTTGGATCGGTTTTAAAAAGCCTGAAGCTGAGAACCGCCTCTTTCCCAGCTTTTCTTGTTGTTTTTTTTGAGATGTGTAGTTCTGACAGGCTACAAATTACACAAACAGTCAGGCGCAAAATTACCACTGTGATTTTTTTCCTCTCTTTCTTCCTTTTCCTCAAACCTCTGTATTATACAATCTGAATGCAGATGTTTAATGCCGGGGTTAATCTATCACACAGGTCACCACAGCTGCAGCGGCACAGCCAACCAAGAGCAGCAGCAGTAGCACAGGGTTCAGCACTCGCTGCCAAAACCTAGACGTGGTGCACAGAAGGTAGGCCAACAAAATAAAGGGGCTAAAATCACAAATTTATTTATATCGTCTGCAGGTGGTGACGAGGAAACGTCGTGGTCTCTGCTGGGAAGACGACAAAGAAAGTAGTGAAAAAAGGTCACCTCCACGTTCAACCACTTCCTTTAACCGATCGAAACATTAAGGAAACTTTTCTGTAGTTTGTGTTCGTTTTCTGCCAAACTGCCACTAGTTTGAGTCATTTAAAAAAAAAATATTCGGCATGTGTGCACTGTAACTGTCTGTTGTTGGAGAGAGACATCAAATCTTCTTGCATGTGTCACATGCAATCTGACATTGAAGGACAGTCGCGCCTGCTCGGCCATCCAGCAGGACAAATAATTCATTTCTGACTCAAACAGATGAACATGAGCGCACATCTAATTGGAGCTGTGCTGCTGAATGCTATTTACTTCCTTCAGATAATCAGAGAGGATTTGTTCATATTCCTTATCGTGCATCATGAATTTTGTTATGCTGTACTGCTTACGTACATAAATTACACTGACTGTGTGGCAGGCAAGGCAGGACCAAACGCAGGACGCCAAGACAAGTGAATTAACTTAAGGAGGCATCTTTATTGCTGTACTTAGAAACTCAAACTAAATGCAAAAACTCTGGAAACTACAGAGCACAGGGAAACGGGACCGACCCGGCAACGAGCAGAGGGACACTGAGGACCAAAATACCCACAGGATATCAAGAGGATGGGCAACAGGTGGGAACACAGCTAGAACTAACTGTAACTAACACACTGTATACAGGACAAGAGACTGTCAAAATAAAACAGGAAGTAAGATAAACACGGAGACCAAGACTAAGGCTCAGCAGAGGGACCGAGGTGAAGCAGACACGGGGACATGACTGACTGGGAGACGGAAAGGGAACACCAAACATGGAGACAAGAGATAAACAAGATGAAAACTGGGCTGACTGAACACAGGAGAAGACCAAACACAGAGAGAGAAAAAACTCAAAAACCACAAGGATCTGAGGACTAACCGAAACACGCTTAACACATGACGTAAAAATAACCACGAATCTGAGAATCACATCGAACATTCAAAAAATCTGAGTCCAGACGCTCAGCCAGCCCGGCTCACAGACTCAGTACCACAACAGGGACCTTTCTTCATGTCTAATCCGGTGCATTAAACTAGGAATAAATTCCTGAGCGTGTTGTTGTTCGTCGGTGATATTAAAGTAGAACTTTCAACACGTTCACCACTAAAATGCAAAATACATATTAATGCTGCTGTAATGCCAGAGAATGTTTTTCTGCACAATGAGGTCTTTGATGCAGTAATTTAACAGTCCGGGCTGTGACCGTCTCTCCTGAATGCAACTAAAATATGTGCAGAGAATATGAGATGTGCATTTTACCGCTGCAGCGGCTCGAGGTGGAGATTTTTCTGACCGTCTATCTTTCTGTACATCATATAAATTACTAATCATGTGTTTGCATGCGAGACCTACATGCAGAGAAAAAAACAGGAACCAAAGCTGTCAGAAAAATTCTGATTTTCTGATGATTTTCTTCACTTTTATGACAGTCAGACGTCACTGTAGAAGTCGCAGCGCTGCAGACTGCACCTTTACCATTATTCATGCTGAAGAATGAAACCTGATATGAAGCATTTCTGGCTGAGCGCCCCCTATGGACTGCAAGAAACTGAAGAGATACAATGAACTTGATGCAGGAACAAGAGAAGTAAATGGAGAAATAAATCCAAACGCACAAACAGAATCTGATAAAACGAGCTTCTTTTATTATAATATTTCAGATTTTTTGGTATTTTATATATATATTTATTCATATATATTTATATATATGCTTATTTTACAATTGAGACGTAAAATTTGAAACAAATGTTGGTTTAACATCAGAGTTTGTAAAAAAAAAAAAAAAAGTGCTTCCTTCTTCCTCACTGACACAAATGTCTTAAAATCTTTCTCAAAAGACCAGCTAAAGGTCAAAGGTCAACTCAGAGGAGCAGAAGGCACTGCTGCATGAGCTATGATTCAACAGCGGGGAAGAGGAAGAAGATAACTACCATGTTGCATAGAAACCCTGTTCACATTTATTTATTTTTTATCTTTCTCAGAATGAACAAACACATAAAAACAGGTATGTGCACAGAGCCAGGCGTGTTTTTTTTCTGCTCAGATCAGTACCCATCATGTGTGAGACAACAAAGCTGTGCTTCGACAAATAGTGCATACAGAGAGCTGCTTCAGTGTCTTCAGAGGAACCACGTTTCTGCAGAATCCCATTGAACCAGCTGCCATCAGGCTTCTCCTGCAGATACGTGGTTTCCCCCTAGACAGCAGGTACCACAGTTTCAATTCCAGTCTTTTTTCTTCTTTCTTTTTTTTCCTAGTTTGTATTTTACTTTGGCTTAAATCAACAGGGGGGGAAACTTGTATCTCCACACCTTCTTGAGTATTAGGAAGCTAAGAAAAAATGTATTTGGGCCTTTTTTAGGTATTCATTTAGTCTTAATTAATACACTTCTTAAGAGTGGAGGTACAAGCTTTCAGTATTGTGGTTGACAGTGTGTCAGTGAACAAAAAACTTAAATACTTTACTTTTTAAAAAGAAACAATTTCAGATTTGTTTTATCTGGGGGGGGGGGGTTGCATCACGTGATCAGATTATTAGAACACACAAACCTGCCAACACCCCGCACGCCTCCTCAAAGAACAAACAGGAGAAAATGAGCACAAATCCATGCAGTTATATCATGGAAATAAACATACATACAGGTTGAGTTTCATAGCTCTAAGACAAGTTCATCAGTTGGTAGAGACGGTAACTTTGTATAAAACAAACCAAAATAATTCAGGAACTACGTGCACAACAGGCTGGTCCGGGCTCGTCACCGCCGTGCCCTACCTTAGCTGCACTGATATGTGGGGTCGAGTCTCTCAGTCTGTACGGGGGTAAGGCACAAAAACAGCCAGTCCTCTGTTGTGTGGATCTGCAGGGGGGACGAGCTTATCGGCTTTTGCACAAAAAGTTTTAAAAGGCACATGAACACTGCAAAAAAAGAAACCAACAACAAAACAAAAACAAAATATACCGACTGAACGAGTCACTCTTTCTCCTGAAGGTGAGCGCAAGTCTTTCTCCGAAGAGCTCAGTCAGTGAGATGATGGTGAGATTAATTCACCTGTTTCCAGTAAAAGTTTATCAGTCCTGTTTTTTGAAGCATCTTCCGGAAAATTCCTGAAACAAGAAAAACCAAAGTGGCTTCAAGTTTGTTTTCTGCGTACAGCCTGTCTGCACTTTGGTTTTCGTTTTCACACAGAAACTTTGGAGCTATTTTTTCTAGTCTGAGGAGAAAGTGTGATCGCGAGGACTCCGTTCAGTCGGGTGTTTTAGCAGTGAACAGCTCAGCTGCCTCAGTCTCCTCACCGCTTTCAGTCCGTCCGGACGAACGGAACCAGCTGTGTGTATAAATCCAGCAGTGTACCAGTCCATGTCCAGTCTGCTCCCGGTCCGGCTCGGGAGGCTCTCAGCTTCCCATGGGTTTGAAGGAACCGTCCGGCAGCTGTCTGAAGATGCCCCGTAACGTGTCCAGCTCGCGGGTCAGGTGCTCCACCCTGCGCCTCAGTCTCTCGTTGTCGGCGGTCAGCTCCACCACCTTGTGCTGCGTCTCCATGTTGCGCATCTTGGCCTTGTCCCTGCTCTTGCGCACGGCCACGTTGTTGCGCTCGCGCCTCAGCCGGTATTCCGGGCTGTTCTTGTCAACGTGCTTCTTGGATTTGCCGCCTCCCCTCTGCTGCTCTAGGAGCTTCATGCCGCCCTGCTGCGAGTGCGGGTGCGAGTGTTGGTGCTGGTGCGGGCTGGGCACTGGGGTCGGCGGAGGTGTAGGGTGCCCTGGCTGGAGGTGCATGGTGGTCTGTGCGCAGTGCGCAATCTGGTACTGGAGGTGCGGCATCTGCTGCTGCTGGGAGTACTGCTGGGGGTGCGGGTGCGGGTGGTGGTAGGTGGGGGGCATGCCCGGGTTCATGTCCTCGTCGTCCCGGGGCTCCTGCTTGATAGCCACCGGTCGGAGGCGTGGAGGGTTGTGATCGTAAAGCGGCTCCATCTTAGACTCCATGTAGTTGGACATGTAGAGCTGCTGGGGCCCCGGGCCGCAAGTCACCGGGTCGTACTCCCCGTTCATCATTTTGAGCTTGTCCTGTCGGGAGCTGTGGTGGAACAGGTCAGCCAGGAAGTCGTCGTTGAACGCTGATGGGTCGATGTAGGCGCTCAGGTCGATGGAGGTCTCGTTGTCTCCGATCTCACCGCCAAGATCTGCCGGGTCTCTGTAGCCGGAGGAGGGCTGCTGGTTCAGGTTGTTCATCAGGGGCCGAGGTGCGACCTCGTATAGGTTAGAGAGCTCCATTGAGAATCTAAACCCGGGCAAGCATGGCGATCAGCTCCGGGAATCCAGGTTGCACAAAGTCGGGTAATACGGTGAGAGGGGGTTACACAGCTGCAAGCATGCGCTGACCCAAAGCTCGGAGAGACTGTGACCGTTGCAGTGGCTCCGTTTGTACGCGGAAAGAAGCGGAATGAAGCAGCTTCAGGATTTACTCTGCTGGGCTGATTCCCCCTGCTCAGTAAACTCCGAGCTGTCAAACTGCTGTTATATACAGAGAGGGAGTGGGCGGGCACACGTGCCCGCGCGCGCGCACACACAGCCCTCAGTCTTGCCAGCTATCTGCACGGGAACGCTTCAGAGTCTAACTCGACTCAAACTTTTATCACACACCGCGTCCTGCGCTCCTCTCTGCGCGCTCTGCTCACACATCAGCGCCAAAGCTCAGGCTGCCGAAGACGCACTGAAATCACCCGGAGCTGTTAGAGTCGGTCCGCCAAAGTCGCATTATATATATATATATATATATATTATATATATATATAAATATATTATATATACATATATATATACTATATAATAATGTTGTGTGTGTGTGTGTGTGTGTGTTTTGTGTGTGTGTGTGTACAAAACATATGTTTACAAAAACAAATATTTACAAAAGTCAATGACTGCTCTGGATTTCAGAAGCTCTTCTACACCGAGCGCGCTGGTGTTCAGCGCTTAACGCGAGCAGCACGAAAACCTGTTTTAAAAGAACTGCATTCTGTTGGGCGCTTTTCTTTAATCCCCGGGCAGTCTGCACTGGCAGACTTTATCTCTGTGAAAGGAGGGAGCGGCACCTATAAGAGCAGGACGCACAGACTTTATGTGCAAGTTATAAAAGTCGAGAACATCTTCTGGACTTAGAACACGTCTGATGTTAAATAGAATGCGCACTGATGCAAAAACCTGTCATTACTTATAATATGAATATATGCCGTCAAGAAAGAATCTTTTTCCCTTATTGTAATGTATTTTTATTTCCAAATTCTAAGTCAGGAAGATCCAACACTGAGGCAAATTTATTATGACTTGCTTACAATGTTAGATGTGACTTGGGGAATATTCTTGGATGAGGACGGGTGAGCAGCGCGGAGCGCGGAGCAGCGCGGAGCAGTGGGGGCAAGGACGGCGGACTGAAGAGCTGGACTGCAGCGCCCTCTATGAGCAGCAAACGGAGAGATCTTCGTGTTGGGAGCGATTTCAAGCTGCTTGTTTATTTTGTATTTTTATTCCATATATATTTTTACAGGTTTTTGCTTGACCTCCATTTGAAAACAATAATCTGCTTCTTTCTGACAGACCCAGCGCCACTTTCTGTCCTTTTTCTGCCCCATTTGAGGAATTTTTAAGAACCTTGAGGAAGCATTAGTGGTCCTCGGGGCCTGACTTTTAAAACTAGTGTTGACGGACTCAGCTGGGAAAATGTGAACAGCATTTTCTGTTGCACTGGGAAGCTCTTCAGGCCAGTGGCTTTCAGGAGGAAGCACCAGGGATCATTGAAGTGATCTGGAGGAACACGTGTTTTTAAGGAAACAACATAATAATTAAAAAAGTTTAAAACTGGAAAGATTAAGTGTGATGTTCCTAAACTTTAAAGTCAGCATGTTAAACACAAACTAGAATACACAAAATCACTCAGACAAATATTTGAAGAGCTTTTGTTTGCTTCACTGCAGTTCAGCTGTCAGCACGATGCGAGGGTACTTCAGATCAGGCCGGCGCGTGGACCTTTGACCTCTTCGATCACACTTCGATCACATTCCTAATACTGCATTCAGCCTTCATTTGTTTTCAGTGACTTTACTTTCATTTTAACAGCACCGGTGAATCTCTGTTGAGCCGAGAGCCCTGACCTCGATGACATCACACCATTGTCACCAGTGTTATCTCGGACTTAAAGTGTTGAGTCAGTGTTGCAGCATTAGTGGTCCTGTACACATTTTCTGCAGCAACAGTGTGGTTGGACAGTAAAAAAAAAAACAACAACAACATTGTTTCCAGAAGCAATGTGATTTGAATTTAAGTTGACATTAACCAATCAGACCTGAGAAAGCAGTTTACCAAAAAAAAGCAAACACTGCACTGGAGTCATGAGTGACAGCTTCGAATTCCACATGGACAGCTGGCCAACATTCACAGCACATTTGCAGACATCAGCATAGTTTGGATGCAGCGCCTAGTAGAGCAATGTAATGTTTGGTCACGTGACCAGGCATCACTATTACCAAACCTCATGTTTTGTGTCTCTTTGTGGCTGCTTTCAGTCCAGCTCAATTTCATTTATGCAGTTAAGTCCAAAAGATGTTGGACTGTGACTGTTTAGAGGGGTTGTTGTTTGCCTCTGTACACCACAACAGTGAATTTAAAAAAATCAAGATTTGAATGAAGCGCAGACTTTCAGCTTTAATTTGGGGGGATTTAACAAAAGCACTGAACTAACTGTACTGGAATTACAGCCATTTTATGCACAGTACTAACTTTCACAGGACAATTGACTGACAAGCTGCTTCATGGTCATATGAGACCTGTTGTCATCTTATGTCGTGTGAAATAGTCAGATATGAAATCTGTTGTTAAGTCCAAGAGTTGAAATTGCATTTGATAGCTGGACGTCTCAATGTGGCATCTCAGTTCAAGTGAGGGAGGCCATCGTTCGGCTGAAAAGCCCAAATAAACAGCAAAGACTTTGGTATTGGCCAAATCAAAAATCTGGTGCACTGTTTAAAAAAAGAATGCACTGACCAGCTCAGCAACACCAACAGACCTGAAAGAGCATAGAAAACACCTACAGCGCATGATGGCAGAATTATTTCCATTATTAAGAAAATACCTTCTTAATTGCCCCTTGGGGATGAATATAGTTTTTCTGACCATAATGAAATGATGCATTTGTGAATGGAAATATAGAGAGTTTACAACAGGTCAGACTGTCAGTAAACATCTAAAAGAGTCTGAAAAAGATCTTGGGACAGATGATGGTTGTTTAAGAATGATGGCCTGGGCATGTAAGGCTGCAGTCGAACCGGGTCATGGGTGTTTATTCATGATGTTGCTGCCAGTACAAGCAGCCGGATGAACTGTGGCGTGGTTTCTAGACTTTAGGTAGCCACTGGGTGCAAAGGATTTATGTCCAGTTATTAAAATCAATCCTTATATTTACACTTAGGAGCCTCTGAAAATGGGAGGCTATGTATTAAAATGGCTGTAACGTCGAGACAGTCGATTCAAAAGTTTTGTTAAACCCTTTGAATGAAAGCTGAAAGTTGCACTGCAGTCTCATCTTGATTGATTTAAACTCCATCATAGTGGAGCAGAAAGGTAAAATAATAGGGGGGGAAATCTGTGCACAAACCTATAACTACACAGTCATGTTATCATGTGAAATCCCTGGGCAGCCTGAGCCTATAGCAGGATAAGGGATGGTCAGGGTCAGCTGATCTGACTATAAACTTTAAAAAAGGAAAGTGTGAAGTCTCATCTTAAAAGTCTGTCTCCTGAATCCAAACTTGAGCACATGTTCCACAGAAGAGGCCTGAAGCTGTAGGCTCTGCCTCCCATTCCACTTTTGGAAACTCTAGAAACCACATGTAAGCTCGCAGCCTGAGATTAAAGTGCTGTCAGGATACATTTTTGTCTGTTTGTAACTTCTTTTCATCACTTTTATCACCCACTTTTTAAATATTTTGTTTCTTTTGTGTCTTTTTTTTACCTTTTGAAGTTGATCTTTCGTTTTTGTTTGTTTGGATCCAGGTCAGATCCAGGTGACCTCTGACAGCTCAGGGTCTTTGTCTATACATCCCTTCATTTATATTCTCTGGTCATGATTATTATTAATAAAACAGTAATTACATTGTTTTTTGTGTGTTCCTGGTAGGACCGCGGTTTCATTAAGTGCTTGTCTCACCTGTGAATGTTCACCAGGTGTTTGAAGTGGTTTCTTCGTACACGCGGATGTCAGTAGTTATTATAGTGACTGAAGGAAGCGGGAGCGTCGATACTGAAGGTACTGCCGTTTTGAGAGAGAGTCTCGTCATTCAGAGATGAAGTCATACGTGTTTCAACTCATCTGACCAGCCTCGGTTACATAAACAACGCTGAGAGAAGATAGCAGCGTCTCATTGGTCCAAACACGAATCAATCACAAAGAGCATTGCATCACTCCGCCGCACACTCATCGGTGATTGGCCAAGCACCCCAACTCGCTGCCACCTACTCGCCTGTGATTAGCTGATCCTGGACATTGCCGTACATGGTAAAAGAGATTTCGCAATCGGTCGCTCTCCATGTTACAAACAAAAACAGTCCGAGCTCATACGGACGGGATTAAACTTCGGTTTTCTAGGGGAACTTTTTCATCTTTTGACGGACGGTTGAGCCCGCCGCCTCCCAGTGAAGGTAAAATCGTAGTTTTATTTCTCTGTAGGTCCGAAACAGCGAAGCTGGCAGTGAGCTGATGGCTGTTAGCGACAGGAGCTAACTCGCTAGCTGGCTATGCGCCCGGCTAAACAGGCAGTGTTCGCGTACGTTAAAAGAAAGCTGTTGTGTTTCGGGTCAGATCGGCTTAAATCGACGCCTGTCTCAGAGCGGGAAAGCTCGACAGTCAGTAGCGAGGCGGCGAGTCGCCTGTTGGTCGCTTCGAGTGAACAGAAAGTTGTCAAAGTGTTCGAAAATTAAAGTTTAGGTACTTTAAAGCGACGTGTTTCGGATCAGTCCGCCTGTTTCGGTCTGTTTCGTGTGATTTCATATTTGTCACACGTCGGTAAAGTCACCAGAAAGCGGTGGTTTTGTGTATAGCCCCGCATGACTCTGGAGTTCCCCTGTCTTCACACAAAGAGAGCCGCTCGTGATGATGCAACAACAGGCAACCTCTCCGCTGTTTCACCCGGAGCGCTTTCCGCTGCGCACAGCTGACTGGCTGCATAGCAACGCACCAGCCAATCAGAGCGGCGCTATTAATTGGCCGTGCGGAATAACAATCCGAACAATTATCGTATCGCAGTGATGGAGGAGGAGGATGGTGATGATGAAGCCTCCTAACTGGACCAAACTCTGCATAATCCGAGTATAACGTTTCAGCGAAAGGGAAAGTGAGGAAATGATGTTCAGAGCTGGAACTTTGGCTGATTGACCTCCACCTTCCAGAAATGATAGAAACACATTAAAATGGCTTGTCAGTCCTTTTGTTGCAGAAATTAAAAAAAAATTCCTGAACATTTCTGGCGCAGAGCTGCAGAGTGAAATCAAAAAGCTGTCAAGTCTGACAAATGTTCAGTGTTTGCACTGTGCAGCTCATATTTAGCAGGACCAGAGCCTGCATCCACCGAAAGACGCCAAAGCAGAATCCATAGTACCGCTTTTGTGCCCATTTGCATAGGCGTCTGGATAGTGAATTGATATAGGATATTCAACCAGCACAGACATGCTTGCAGGTGGGTGATGTGTTAGGCTCAGGTAGAAAGTTGATTTGGTTAAAAAGTGGGCTTGAACAGTGAGAGATCGACAGGGAGGTTCACTGCATAGAGGAAGAAGAGTGGAGAAATAAATAACAGATCAAAATGATGCGCACAAGTCTCGAGATGCAGCTGTATGATATCAAAGACCACCAGGACGCTTTTCACTTCCTGTCAACGCGCAGGAAGCCAGCAAAGACCGGAACCTCTGAGATTAGGTACCCTAACGAATCAGATGGTGTTGTTCTTTCATGTAGATGATAAAAATTGACCAGTACTTTACTTATTAAAATACCAAATAAAGTCAGTGAAAGGGACGTACTGTGGTTCAGGTGGGGCCTCCACTCCAAACGCGTGGACAGAAACATCTGCACACAGCTGTCTCTGATTTCTTTGTCTTCTTACATGTGTGGTGTTGTCCGTGGCTAGTCTACAGCTTAGTGTTTGCTTTGATTCTGTGTGATCTGCTCAATTAATCTGGTCTGTCTTGCCCTCCAGGCTCTGTCCATCTGCAGGACCTTCTTCTTTCCTTCCAGTCTTCTATTCAGCTCTACACCTGAGGAGACTCTGGTCAAAGATCAGCACCCGTTGGCAGCACATCCAAATGAGCCGGCCGTCGCAGCCGAAACTAACTGCAACTGACCACAACGGCGTGAGCGTCATCCAGAGCCAGGCCCACGCCGCTTCTTCGTCCCTGCCGGCAGCCGTAGCCGGACTGCAGCAGGTCCCGCAACTCGTCCCAGCAAACCCTTCAACCGGAGGTGGCAAAGTCCTCGCACCCAGCAAGATGAAGAAACCCCCTGCAGACAAGGAGAGCGAGGAGTACCGCCAGCGGCGCGAACGCAACAACCTGGCAGTGAAGAAGAGCCGCATGCGCAGCAAGCAGAAGGCGATGGACACGCAGCAGCGTGTCAACGAGCTGAAGGAGGAGAACGAGCGGCTCGAGGCAAAGATCAAACTGCTGAGCAAAGAGCTGAGCGTGCTCAAAGACCTCTTCCTGGAGCACGCTCACAACCTGGCCGACAACGTCCAGCCGCCCGCAGGCGCAGAGGGTTCCAGTCCCGCCCCCAACAGTACCTCCACCAACGGGCAGTGAGGAGGGTAACCACCAGGATGTTGAATATCTGCAGCTTTTATGGAAGCTTCTCCCTTTGGGAATGAGGCCCCACTTCTTCTTCATGGCTTTTTTTTTTTTTTGTGATTATCAGTTATTATTTAACCTTTTAATAATTCACCACCATCATCATCCAGTTCGCCAAAATAACCGCCAGTGTTCCCACTCTCTACCCAGAACAGCTCAGAGTTTTAACACATCTGGAATCGTTTTAGAAGAAAAAGCTTAAACATATTTTCTGGAAATATCTTTTAAAATTTTTAAAAAATCCACTGAAGTGTGACTTTTAAAATTGAAAGCTGTGATGTTTGGCTGAAAGCCTCCAGCTGTGTCATCGCTCCTCTGATTGACTCATTGATTTGGGGGAACATGATGCGATTTGAACTCGTATAAACTGAGTCGTCGTCTGTTAGGATTCTCTGGAACAAACACAAAAAAATCACCACACATTTCCTGCATTTCCTCTTCCTGGTGGCGGAAAACCCCCGGTTCAGTCTGATGAAGACGTCCGTGGCCATCGCTGAGCGCTCCGCAGCCGCAGGATGGACTTGTAAATGCTAAAATTCCCTTTTTCAGGATGTGTATTTTCTTCTGTTCTTCTACAAAGAGTTTGTAAAACAAAAAAAGTGTTTTTATTGTTAAGTACATTCACTACATGTTGATGTTTTAAGCACAGTTCTGTTTGTATGTGTGTGGGGTTTTTTGTTTTTTCATGACTCGTGTTGTTTAAGATCAGAAATAGAAAAAAAAGTTTATATCTGACTCTACTGAGTGAAAACAGAGGGAGGGTTAGGGACACACACACACACACACACACACACACACACACACACACACACACACACACACACACACACACACACTTATCCTTTACTGGGTGGTTTTATTAACATGTTTGTGTTGCACACTTTTAATTTTGAGGTCTGAGTCTTTCCTGCGGAGGCGGTGCATGTTAAACGTTGGTCTCCTGCCATATCAGTGGCTGCCCAAGCCTTAAACGGCTGAAGCCTGCAGCGCTCGGCCCCGACAAAACAGAACAAAGTGCTAATTTCACTGGAAATGCAATCAATGGCTTTGTGCACATTTTTAATACACGTCACAGCTGATTGGTGTTAAATGAGAAAATAAACCTCTAAACTCATTTCACGCCACTTCAGAAAATCACAAGTTTAGACTGTGAACAGATGGACTTAAACCTGTTAATAGGACATGTTTAGGTAAAAATAAAACCACTTGTTTATTTGGCAGTATTGACAATCACGGGGCCTCCAGCAGTGTCAGAGTGTAAAAATCGTATGTGTTTATTTTTGGAAATTATCAGCGTGTTTTCTTTTTGTTTCACGCTGAAGATTTGAGGCTTCAATCGGGGCGTTGACAGGAAGGCGGGGCATCGATCCTGCTGCTGATATGACAGCAAGACCATGTTGTTGTGTTGAAACTATGTAAAGGTGGAGGTGTGCGCAAGACGAACCCCCTCCCGCCACCTGTCGGAGTGGCCTGTCCAGACAGGTGTGTTTGTGTGTTTGCCGCTGGGCGGACCCAGACACCTCAGACTCTTCAGGCCAGCCGCAGATTTAATTAAACCCACTTTTAACCCGGACCAGCTGATTAGCCGCCAGCTAATGAGGTGTGAGCAGATCGGGACAGGCCCGTGCCCCGCAGGCACGCCGCAGAGAGGGGCGGGGCCACCGCGCACTGCTGTCAGACTTTATAATTATATGAGCTTTGTGTGGGCGTGGAGTGTTTTTCCACAGGGTTTGTCTGTCAGGAGCTTCGCCTCTGCAGGAATGTTGTTGCTTCTGAGCTGCTCAAGCCAACGTTCCCACAAGGTTCTCCTAACGTGTCCTGTAGACTTTGATTTTTACATTTTTCTGCACAGATTCGTCCAGAAAGTTCAGCGAGTTTTAAACAAAAACCTTCAGAATGTGTTTTTTATCCAGGTGGTGTGAAGTTTAGTTTCTGCAAATTGTCGATATTTTGCAGTTTTTCCATCATGCATGTGTATTTTCCCGCGTTTTATCAGACTTGAGCAGTGGAAATGAAATCAAATCATGTTTGACCTGAATCACTTCAGCTAGTTGCGGTTGGAGCTGAAAGTTCCAGTTCTCTTTATTGGTGTAACATATTTTGATTGGCGCTGTGGGGACGGGAGTCTCGTTGAGCACAGCCTTCACCTTTGTCTCTTTTTTTTGTTTGTATTTTCCATCTTTCTACACTTTTATTCCAACAGAAGCATGTTTGTTAGGGAAGTGTTTGCATGAATGGTGGGGGTGAAAGTTTAGTGCACTCATAAAATCAGATCTTCTGGTCTTAACTGAGCGGATCAGGAAGCAGACGTGATGGTTGTGCTGTTTTGCTTTGCTCTGAATGTTGCTGGGCAGCATTTCTCTGTCACTCAGCTTTTTTATATCAGAACCGGCTCACCTGCATTATAAATTAAAATTGAGTATAAAAGATGAAACTGTGTCCTAATTTTTTTGTTTGTTTGTTTTGGTCCAGAGCTGTTGTCTCTGGTTTCATTCATTCATCTCCTTCTACATCAGTCTCAGTAAACCTTAGCTTTTTTATTCTAATGGAACCTGTAATTCAGGCAGTGGGAACGTACCATTACAGAAGCTGCAGCTCAGTCACGAAGCCACTGACTCTGTTCCATTAATGCTGTAAATAAAACACTCATTAGGAAGTCATGAAGAAGAATTAATGATTATTGTTGACGTTAGAATCTCTCACTCTGTCTCCAGCTGAGGACTGATGGCGACGTTTGACATGAAAATAAGTTCAGTTATCGCTCACGTAGACTTTAGGGATGTCCTGCCTCCCTAAACGACCACTGATTCATAAATAGAGACACTGCGTGAGCGCATGAATGTGCTTTAACCTCCTAAGACCCGAACTGTTTCATGGCATGCATTTTTAATTTTTCTTTGCTATTTGTGTTGATTGGGACCTGATGAATGTAAAAACAAAGAATTACCAGATTTTTTTTTCACCTCATTTTTGTTTTTTGAGAAAAACGAGATCCACATATGAGGACATTTGTTTCAAATTTGTGGCAGTGGCAGCATAATGTCCTCGTAAGTGGATGTCAGGGCCTTGTAGAGAAAAATTAAGTATTTTGGTCTAGACGTCCCAAAACGTGATGTCCACATATGTGGACGCAGGTCCTAGGAGGTTAAAGGTGTCGCTCCAAACGTTCCAGTGTGAAGATTTCACTGCTTATCCAGCCTGGAGCCACCGAGAGCAGCTGTTATCAGGTGAGACGTCAATGCAGCCTGGATGCACGTGCAGTCCATCACAGGGATAACATCTGGCTGCATCTGCAGCAGCCAATTCACCCATTAACCTAACGACCATGTCTTTGGTGACCAGTAACAGATCAGTATGAGTGAAAATAGCCAGACTGCAGTTAAACTACCTGAATTCTTCTCAGTGAGAGATTTCACTGAGTGGCAGGTTAATACATTTATGATGTTTCTTTGATTCTTTTGAGATTTTGCTCCCAAATCCTTCCACAAAGCCACTAACCACTGCAGAGACGACATGATGGGATGACATCAGTACAGAGCCAAAGGTCAAACTGTGAAAAGGCCTGCGAGAAAAATTCCTGCTTCCTCATTGGCTGCTGAAGTCACCTGTTTTATCACGCCTGATCACTGGTTACTCGTGGTTACCGCTCTCTGCAGCCTCCCTGCAGACTGAGCGGAGCTGAAACTCTGAGCAAACAGAGGGCAGCCTGGTGGTGGAAGACAAGTCAAACTGCAGCAGGAGCTCCACAGCTCAGCAGCTTTAGTTGCTTCTAAAAGTTCAATCTGACATAAAAAAAAATGCAGCATGCTGTTAAAGGTCACAACAGCAGCTACTGCATTAATAATGAGCGAACGACATACAGTTATCCCTGTTAAAGCTTCTCTAACACCAATGCTTTTATTGTGCTAAACATATCATATGTTTACTCCTCGTAGATCGGCCACAGTTGCTGAGATCTGCGTGCCTGCAGCGTGTGCATTTACAGAAAAGTGCACGTCAAGTTACAGCGCAGATTTAATGTTTTGCTCATCAGTTTTTGGACAGTGACACTATTTCTGAGGTAACTTTGTCTTTCTTTACCACCACAGTGGGTTCCATCTGCACCGCCAAGCTCCGTCTGAGCAGCTTTGCCGCATTAGTCTGAATGTGAGCCGAGAGTGCAGCTCTGTACACTTCACACTTCATCCTGTCACCTCTGACGGCAGTCACATGATCAGTAAACACCAGTTCCCCTGGCAGCCACACACACCCATGCCATAACACTCCCTCCACCATGTACAGATGAAGCAGTATGAGCACAGAGACGCCGTGAACAACAAACAGAGCAAAGCACAAACTGTTGGAAACAGTAAGCGACAGTTAGTGACCTGAAGTGAAGGCATATGAGATAGCATATAAGGCCCCACAGAAGCCCAGTCGTACTAATTAAGTGAGTGTCTGCCTCCCAAACTGTTTGAACTATTTGAAACGATCAGATTTTAAAACTGAAAAACAAAATCACGGCAGTTTTATTTACCCGTGCTCGACCTTTACTTATCTCCATTCGTCCTGCCTTGACTTCTTGTTGCCCTTTTTCTTTACATTGGTATGTTTTCATGTAAAATAGTCTCTCTTATCTCCTTCTTTTCCCTAACACATTATCCATCTTCACCTCCTCCTGTCTTTGTTGTTTTCTTTCAGCTTACTCATTTTATTTCAAATTAAAGATCAAAATGAAAACAGAACATTTGTCATCGTGCAGAAAATGATGAAATATTTTCTTGGTTTTAAATGCTGGGAGCATTTTTTCCCCCAACTCTTAAATATGAGCTCACCTTCAGTCATGCAGGGTGTTAAATCAGTGTGTGTGGACAGATAAGAGCTGTGGATTGATAAAAGGTTATCAGAGTGCGAAGAGAAGAGAGCTGAATGTGCAGCTCGAGCCGCCGGCCTTGAAACTCAAACGGGGTGAATGATTGACACGATGACATCATAATCGCCTGAGCTCAATAAACTAACGAGGACGGGGTTTTCTTTTTTTTCTGTCTCTCTCTGCTATTCAAAGTTCAGAGCTGGCATGTCCGCGGGTTATAAAGGTTTACTGGCGAAAAGTCAAACGTCTCCGCCTGACACAGAAAGCACACAGAGTGAGTCCTCCCACCTCCTCCTCCTCATGTTCCCATAATTATCACCGCTGTCAGAGCAGTCATGTCACTATCTAAAAATAAACCTTCTCAGTGTGTGTGTGTGTGTGAGTGTGGGCGGTGAATCCTCATCAGTCTGCTGAAAACTGGAACATCAGCTTCGCTCGGTCATTAGGCCTAATCCGAAAACCAGCAGCAGCACAAAAAGCTTCGTGCGCTGCCTGACGATGATGCTTGAATCACATGCGTGTCCTTTATCCCGCAAAGCACTGAACGACACGATGTCAGACCGCAGACTCACCGCAGGGCTGACACACTGCAACACACTGCCAAACCCAAACCTGTGGGTGCTTTATCCCACTTACACAAAGTGTCACTCTGTGAATCGCTGTGGTCTTTTGCATCCAGTTGCAGGTTTGTGTTTCTTTGTTGTCTATTTTCTGTTGTTAAATGAGATCCTGTGTCCACACTGTAAAAGGCATACATGCGTACATTTAGTTAACAGAACTGAGCGATGTTTCCAATCATAGAAGTTCTAATTTTATACAAGAAACAGGCGTTAAAGGAGGCTAACAAACCGAACATCCCCATCCCAGTCCTGTGGGAGAAAAGGTCAGACTGACTAAGGGCTGTTTCTCCCAGGTACCGAGGATTTATCAGGCACATCATTCAGACGGAGCAGGTATTTGTGGGTTTCACTTTTCCACAGAAATGTAAGCAAACCTGAGTGAGAGAAGAACGAGTCTGGATCACTTTCTGCAGAATGCAAACATCAAAGAGATTTTCTTCTTCTCTGTTTCACGGTTAACCTGATCGTGCAGTCCTTCATTGTTATTTGCTGCTGAGCTCAGGCTGAGATGGAGAAGTGTTCACTCGTCTGCTTCCTCCCACTGATTGTGATTTGGTACTCACTTGTCTTATTTTTAGATTGACTCTCTCAATTAAATTCAGTTTCGTGTATATAGCACCTAATCACAACAACAGTCACCTCGAGATGCTTTATATTGTAATGTGAAGACCCTACAATAATACAAAGAAAACAGAGAAAACCCCAATAATTATATGAAACCATATTAGCGAGCATTTTGGTGACAGTGGGAAGGAAGAACTCCCTTTTAATAGAAAGAAACCTCCAGCAGAATCAGGCTCAGGGAGGCGCTGTCATGTTCTGAGACCAGTTGGGGGGTGAGGGGAGGAAGACAGGACAAGAGATATTGTTGAAGAGAGACAGATATTAATAATAACTAATAAATAAATGCATAGAAGTGTATAAACAGAAGAAACAGTGCATCATGAGAATCCTCCAGCAGCCTAGACCTATTGCAGTGCAACTAAGGGAGGATTCAGGGTCACCTGATCCAGCCCCAACTATATGCTTTGCAATGCAATTCAGTTCAGTACAGTCATTTTGTATCAAGGCCCGTAATCTCTGCAAAGTAAAATAAATCTACAATATTAGTGGGAAAACCCAACAATCAGAAAATTCACCATTAACCACAGATGGCAACTGTAGGAAGGAAGAGCTCCCTTTTAGCATTAACATCCGACGGGGCTGAAAGGAACAAGGGAAGCTTTGCTCCAATGTTGTGTGTATGGGGAGATTTTTAGCTGCAGCAGTGCTGATTCTGGAATAACTGAAGACTTTAGCACGTCATGGCTGCAGGTCCAAAGCAGATCATCAATGGATTAGTGCTCTGTATGATGCAGGACTCAAGGGTGAACTGTGTCCAAACAGGAAAATGAAAGACCTTGGTGCAGCTTTGAAACTATTTGTGTATAATGACTCTCATTAGACTGAATGCTCATAGTTTATGGGATATCTATATTTTCATAAAAACTAAAAATTCTCTCTGCGCTTTTGTCGTAGTGCAGGAACTACTGCAAAACTGCAGGAAGTAGAGAAGGAATGTTTGCAGACATATTTGCAGGTATCCTGGAAATAAAAAGTATGATTCAAGTGTTGAGGAGCCTGTAAAGCTTTTTGCCTAGCAACACGTCCACCATATAACTGAGACAACAGGTCAGGCAGACACTATTCGATATCAGTGTGTTGGGAGATTGGAACAATAACCAAACAGTGCCAACATCAGATCCGACTGGAAATTACAGCACACCCTCTGTAATGTTCATCCCATAGACTGTTATAAAAAACACTGGCTGTCATAACTCTGTAAAAATTTATTTTTTAAGAAAACATGTCATCATTTTTTGAGAGTTTGAGAAAACCAGGAAGCTCAGAGTTGAATAAAACTGTGTCACAGAGTTCAGAATCACGTCTGATACACGCAGTGTTTGTGAACGCTGCTGTACT